TGGGGGGGGGGGGGGGGGGGGGGGGAGAGAGAGAAACCTTGTTGAAAGAAGCCACAGCCTCAACCACCTCCTTTGTAAATTGTTTTCCAACACCAGATGTTCCAATTAAAGCTGTTGGCTTGATAGCCTAATGAAGTTTGACAATGAAGAAAAAGTATATACCAAAAAGTACTAGTTTCTGTTGAAAATAGAAATATAAGGAGTTCATCCAACCTTGACAGCATCTAAGAGAGTGTTGCAAGGTTCATGTTCATGAGCCCACGGCTTCTTAAAATGTTGAAGAGATTCCTTGCGGGATTTAACTATTAAACCCTGTAAATTGTACACAAATATCACTGATCAAAATATTACCTTTGGACTCCTAATTGTTGAGAACCAACATATATACTTATAGAAGGAGACAATCACTCATAAGAAACATATTCGATCAGAAGTTACCTTTGAGTCTACCAGCCAAATCTTTTTGCGCGCTTCTTCCAGAGGAACTTTAGTCTATAGATCAAAGCAATCACCAAACGCTAAAAATATCATATTGACAGTATCTCAAGTTATATACAAAACATTAGGAATAACAAATACCCGCTTCGACATTTCAAGGGCTATAAGCTCTGCTATACCAGTGCCAGCCTGCAATTAGAAGAGAGAGCACGAGCCAAATGTGCAAAAATATCAATTGGAAATCCGAAACTAACAATAATCGAGTGAATACAAAAAGGGAAAATTATGAATGCATTGTATTTCAATTTCTGCTTTCCACACTGTACAACGTAAAGAGTCTCTGTCCTTGTTGCATCTTCTTGTTTTTATAGCCATTCTTGAAAATCAAATATCTAGAGGCTCACTAAATAAAGCAAGGTAAGAACTTTACTTCTCCAGCACCAAGAAACAAAAATGTGTGGTCGCCCAAGGTACCCCCGAGTAGCTTAAGTGATGCAACTAGCCCGGCAAGCACCACAGATGCCGTCCCCTGCAGTAGAAGGATCAAGAATTATAATATGGGCAGCAATACTACAACAATATCAACCAAGAAGTTACAGTATACCTGTATATCATCATTGAAGACCAAGTGAGTAGTGCCGTATTTGGCCAACAACTCAAAAGCATTGTGATTGGCAAAATCTTCAAACTGCAATTTCAGTAAGAATTGCACTAAGGTTAAAAAGGAAGGCCTCTAAAATGGGAGTACTCTTGCAGATAATTAGGGATTACCAACCTGTACAAGAACTTTTTCACCATAGTTTTGCTTCACGGCAGTCATGAATTCATGTAAGAAGTCGTAATATTCCTGGAAAGAAAATGTCAAAGTAAGCAAGTAGCTTAGCTAAGAAACAGAATCCCTACAAGTTAGTAAACTGCTGTCGCAGTAATTCAGCAGATTTTGAACATGTAACCTTCCCAGTCGCCCGCTTTTGTCTGAGACCAATGTAAAACTCATCCTTAAGTAGCTGCTCATTATTTGTCCCCACATCAATGGTAATCGGCAAACACTATAAAGCGAAGTCAAAACTTATAATTAGATTTACAAGTACACATTTTATATGCAATATTAGAACTTACTGAATAGTATAATAGACAATAATTGTCGATTGCTTTATATTAATCCTTACCGCAGAAGGTCTAACACCTCCTAGTGCGGTATACAAAGCCAATTTTCCAACTGGTATTCCCATCCCCTGCAACATCGTAAAAAATATCATCATCAATCTAATTTGCCACGTGAATGAAGTAAAATAGAAGGAAAAATACAAGTCCAAAAGAATCACCTGGCAGCCAAGATCTCCGAGTCCCAAAATTCGCTCACCATCAGTCACAACAATAACTTGAATCATCCTCTCGGGCCAATTTTTCAATACCTCAAGAATCTTTCCCCTACACATGCCAGGAACTCCCAGTGTCAGTCGAAATTACATTACACATTTGCGTACATAACATAGCTCAA